CGGCACACTGGGTTCTAGTCCCGGTCGGGGCACCGGATTCTGTCCCGGTTGCCCCTCTTCCAGGCCAGCTCTCTGCTGTGGCCAGGGAGTGCAGTGGAGGATGGCCCAGGTGCTTGGGCCCTGCACCGCATGGGAGACCAGGAAAAGCACCTGGCTCCTGGCTCCTGCCATCGGATCAGCGCGGTGCGCCGGCCACGGCGGCCATTGGAGGGTGAACCAACGGCAAAAAGGAAGACCTTTCTCTCTGTCTCTCTCTCTCACTGTCCACTCTGCCTGTCAAAAAAATAAAAAAAAAAAAAAAAAAGAAAAGGAGACTAGAAACTAGTGAGGTGGGCAGACTTGAGCCGTGCCCTGTAGGGTGTTTAATCACGTGAATTCATCACTTTATACCTGCTTTATAAGTAATATTGTTTTTTTTTTTTTAAGATTTATTTATTTATTTGAAAGTCAGATTTAGATAGAGAAAGGAAGAGACCATAATTTTCCATCTACTGTTCACTCCCCAGGGCTGGGCCAGGTTGAGGCCAGGCACTAGGAGCTTCTTCTCAGTCTCCCATGTGAGTGCAGGGGCCATCTTCTGCTGGAGCTGGAACAGAAGTGGAGCAGCTGGGTCTTGAACCAGTGCCCACATGGGATGCTGGTGTTGTGGGCAGTGGCTTCATCTGCTACACCACAGTGGGGGGCCCCAGTAACATTGTTTTTATAAAACTGTTAAAAATAGCTACTGTTTTTGTATCTACTCTATTCCAGTTACCTTGCTAATTACTTTGCATTGTATATAAAGTAGATATTATAATAGGTTAGAAAATGGAAGCTCACAAAGGTTATTGGGGAAGTCGCCCAGTAGATACCAGAGTCTAGGATTCAAATTCAGGTCCAGGTTTATAGTCTGTACTCTACTGTGTTTTGCTGCTCCAAAGAATAGCACATTTCATTCTACTTTGGTTTGGTCTTAAGCTGTGAAGGATGTCTTAACACTTTCCTTTCTTCCCTACTAGGAAGTCTGCAAGATGCTCATACACATGCGGCACCCGGAGGTGTACCACCACCTGGGCGTCGTGCCCCCGCGTGGAGTGCTCCTTCATGGGCCGCCTGGCTGTGGGAAGACACTGCTGGCACATGCAATTGCAGGGGTGAGTCTTGGTGACAGGCTATGTTTGTTGTTACTATTTGTTTTTGCTTTTGCTTTTTTGGCAGTTTAAACCAGACCCGGCATCTCAGAAGGAGAATATTATCTTTGAGAAGACTTCTTTATTTGTTTCTTTCGTGCTATTTGTTAATTTTTTTAAAAGACTTTAAATTTATTTGAGAAGTAGAGTTACAGGCAGAGAGAGGGAGAGACAGAGAGAAAGGTCTACCATCTGCTGGTTCACTCCTCAAATGGCCGCAGAGCTGGCCTGATCCTAATTCAGGAGCCTAGAGCTTCTTTTGAGTCTCCCACATGGGTGCAGGGGCCCAAGGACTTCAGCCATCTTCTGCTTTCCCAGGCGATAGCAGGGAGCTGGATCAGACGAGGAGCAGCTGGGACTTGAACTGGCACCCATATGGGATGCCGGTGCTGCAAGCAGAGGCTTAGCCTACTCCATCACAGTGCTTGCCCCAATTTTTGAATTATTTGTATATGTACAATTATTGTTTGTGTTATATATGTAAATGGGAAGTAATTATTTCTGTAAACAGCCCCTTTGTAAAAAGTCTTTTTTTTTTTTTTTTTTTAAGATTTATTTATTTATTTGAAAGAGTTATGCAGAGAGAGGAGAGAGAGAGAGAGAGAGAGAGAGAGAGAGAGAGGTCTTCCATCCGCTGGTTCACTCCCCAATTTCCGCAACGGCCGGAGCTGCGCCTTTCCAAAGCCAGGAGCCAGGAGTTTCTTCGGGGTCTCTCATGTGGGTGCAGGGGCCCAAGCACTTGGGCCATCTTCTACTGCTTTCCCAGGCCATCGCAGAGAGGTGGATCAAAAGAGGAGCAGCCAAGACTAGAACCGGCGTCCATATGGGATGCTGATGCTTCAGGCCAGGGTGTTAACCCGCTGTGCCTCAGTGCAAGCCCCAGAAGTCTGCGTTTTAGTTACTTCTCTTTCCCTTAAAACCAGAGGTTCTTACAGCAATAAGTACTAAAACTCAGGATACTATTGTTCAGAAGGCAAAATTTATTCAAGATAGCCATCGTCATGTTCTTACACTTATTTTGTTAAAATATCTTTTCTAAATAATAATAATTGATACCTACTTGGCGAAATAAGAAATTAACAATCTTATTTTAGCCCTGTCGTATTTTTCAGAAACTGTATTGGGTCTAAAATGCAAACTAAGTATAATTTCAGTTTGAAGAGTTATGTACTATCCCAATTAGAAACAGATCAGTGTTCTGTGAAAGAAAATTATTTGTAAAGGGGAACTTGATTGGTTAGCCTCATTCTTGTTGCATAAATGTGTTGTGTGATGGCTTCATGTTAGTCATAGGAATGTGAGTAGCACAATGCTAGTTTTAGTATGAGAGTGACATTAAACAGTTACACAAATAAATACATAGTGACAATTATAATAAGTAAAAGAAGTGCACAGTGCTGTGTAGTATGTTAGGATACCCAAGTTAGTGTTAGGGTCATACTGATAGGGAAGTGAAATTTCAAGATGGCTTGAAGAGTGGGGATTAGCCAGACTTCTTGCTATTTGTATTGATGCAACAGCAATAGTTTCTCTTCCTTTTCTTGAAGGATTTAAATAATTGGCTACCCTTGATTATAGGTAGAGAAATGCTTACAAGGTATGTATTAAAAAATGCTGCCTACCAGATGAGTGACAGAATTGTTTGGCTTGACCCCAAGTAGGGGATGACATACCTCTTGAGATTCAAGACTCCATTCTGCAGAGGTAACAATGAGATGGTGACATCTGTAAAGTAAAAACAGGCACAAAGTGTTCAGTTAATGTATTTTTCTAAAGTCATAGATGTTTTTAAGATAGTGTTTTTTTTGGACGAACACAAAAGCATGAAATTTTTCTGCAAGTTGCTTATTCTAAAAATTTCATTTTGAGAAGACTGAATAAGGAAAAAGGAAAGTTAAAACTTGATTTGGACATTCTTTTCTGTGTTTGTGCTCAGGAACTTAACTTGCCTATTCTGAAAGTGGCGGCCCCAGAGGTTGTGTCTGGCGTGTCTGGAGAGTCCGAGCAGAAGCTAAGGGAGCTGTTCACACAAGCCGTGGTGAGTCAGCCAGGAACAGGCGGGAGTCATGTGGTAGGAGCCTCTTTTAGAGGTGTCACCCCGTTTACTGGCCACTCTTTATAAACAGTAATTTGCTCCATATGATGCCTAAATACGTGAATTTATTTAATGATACAAACTGTTGGGTCAGTTATCTGTTTCATCTGAAATCAAACATAAATGTAATTGATGAGAAGTTCTTGGTTATCATATCCAGTGCATAGTTATTCTTTGATAATATATTATCCTTGTGATATTTTCAATCACTTTTACTTTCCTAAACTTAGGTTTGACCAAACAACTTGCAAGCAACCTGATTGTTCACATTTAGGATTATATTATAAAAACAACTGCAAAAATAATAGGATAAACTATTTGCATAATTAAAGCTGTGAAAAGAAAATTCTATTATCAGAAAAGATAGATTTGATTGTATTCTAATTAAAATTTTAAAAAAATTTTTGTTCATGTATTAGCTCCTTTCTGCTAGTTCACTCCCCAAGTGCCCACAGTGACTAAGACTGGGCCACACTGAACCAGGGAGTTGGAAACTCAATCTGGATCTCCCATATGGATGTAAAGAACTCAATTACATGAGCTATCACCTCTGCCTCCCAGGGTCTACATAAACAGGACACTGGAATTGACTTTCAGAACTGGGACTTGAACCCAAATACTCTAATGTTATAGCATCTTAACTTCTAGCCCAAGTACCTGCTCTTAATTGTAATTTGTGTTGTTTAAATTTGGTTGTTTGAGACAGGAATATGATGTTTCTATCCAATTAAAGTTTTATCTTTAGGTGCAGGAGAAGTGGTGCAGTGTGTTAAGCCACTGCTTGGAGCACCCAAATCCCATAGTCGGAGTTTTAGTTTGAGTCCTGGATGCTTCACATTCCATCCAGCTTCCTGCTGGTACATACTGGGAAGCAGCATTAAATTATAAAAGCAGCTGTAAAAATAAAATTATAAGGGACCAGCACTGTGGCGTAGCAGGTTAAGCCACCATCTGCAGAGCTGGCATCCCATAAGCATGCTGGTTTGAGTACCAGCTGCTCCACTTCCACTCCAGCTCCCTGCTAATGTACGTGGGAAAGCAGTGGAAGATGGCCCAAGAGCTTGGGCCCCCTTATCCTCATGGGAGACCTGGAAGAATCTCCTGGCTCTTAGTTTTAAATGGGCCCAGTTCCAGCCATTGTAGCCATTTGGGGTGTGAACCAATGGATGGAAGATCTCTCTGTCTCTCCTTCTCTCTCTAACTCTTACCTTTCAAATAAATAAATAAATCTTTAAAATAAAACAAAATGGGCCGGCACTGCGGCTAAATAGGCTAATCCTCCGCCTGCGGCGCTGGCACACCACAACGGGTTCTAGTCCCGGTTGGGGCACCAGATTCTGTCCCGCTTGCTCCTCTTCCAGTCCAGCTCTCTGCTCTGGCCCGGGAGTGCAGTGGAGGATGGCCCAAGTCCTTGGGCCCTGCACCCCCATGGGAGACCAGGATAGGCACCTGGCTCCTGGCTTCGGTTCAGCGTGGTGCGCCGGCTGCAGCAGCCATTGGGGGTGAACCAACGGAAAAGGAAGACCTTTTTCTCTGTCTCTCTCTCACTGTCCACTCTGGCTGTTAAAAAAAATAATAATAAAAAAAAGCTTTATCTTTAGCATAGTATAGTGATTAAATATGTGTACTTTGGGCCAGCATTGTAGCATAGCGGGTTAAGCCGCTGCCTGCAACATCAGTGTCCCATGCGGGGCAGGTTTGTGTTCCAGCTGTTCCACTTCTGATCCTGCTCCCAACTCATGTGCCTCGGAAGGCAGTGGAGGATGGCCCAAGTTTTTGCGCCCCTGCACCCACATGGGAGACCTGGAAGAAACTCTTGGCTCCGGGCTCCTGGTTTTAGCAGGGCCCAGGCCTGGTCATTATGGCCATTTGGTGAGTGAACCAGCTGATGGAAGACCCCTCTCTCTCTGTAACTGCCTTTGAAATAAATAAAATAATTTTTTTTTAAAAGAAGGTTACTTTGCAGTGAGAAAGATGGGTTCAGATCCTTGTGCTATCACTTGTGACTTTGGAAAAGATATTTAAATACTCTAACCCTCAGTTTCCTTGTTAGTAATCCTGAGTAATAATACCCAAATCTCATGGGGTTGATGATAGTATTTAATTAAAAGATTCTTAGAAAATATTTAGTATGAGCAGGAACTTGAAGAAATTTGTGGGAAGAAGAATTAAAAGAAACTTTGGTGCAAAAATAATTTGAAGTCCATACATAAAGTATCTTTATAAAGTTTATGGAAAATGCCTAGTATGAAAAATATATGCATGAATTTTCTTTTTGCATGAAAATAAGCTTATCATTTAGAGTAAGTATTTAGCCTAGTGGTTAAGATGCCAGTGGGGCTGATGCCGTGGCTCATTAGGTTAATCTTCCGCCTGCAGCACTGGCATCCCATATGGGCGCCAGGTTCTAGTGCCGGTTGCCCCTCTTCCAGTCCAGCTCTCTGCTGTGGCCTGAGAAGGCAGTGGAGGAAGGCCCAAGTGCTTGTCCCTGCACCCACATGGGAGACCAGGAAGAAGCACCTGGCTCCTGGCTTCGGATCGGCGCAGTGCCAGCCGTGGAGGCCATTTGAGGAGTGAACCAACAAAGGAAGACCTTTTTCTCTGTCTCTCCCTCTCACTGTAACTCTACCTGTCAAATAAGTAAAAAAAATCTTAAAAAAAAAAAAAAAAGATGCCAATACAGCTGACTACATTCCATATTGGAATACATGAGTTTGATACATGGCTTCTGCCTCTAGTTACAGCTTTCTTGTAATGCAGAGCTAGAAGTCAGTGGTAACGACTCAAATACTGGGTCCCTGCCACATATTTGGGAGACCTGGATTGAGTTCCTGGCTCTTGGTTGTAATCCGGCCAAGTCCCAGCTTTTGTGGGCATTTTGGCAGTGACCTAGCATATAAAAGCTATCCCTGTCTCAGTCTGTCTGCCTTTTTCTCTGCCTCTTAAATAAATAAATAAAAATTTAAAACTAAACGCATGAACTTATTTAATTCCTTTTTCTGTAAACTTTTCGAAGTACCCTCATACAGTTCCTGGCACACAGCAAAACCCTATGTAAACTTGAGCAGACACGAATCATCACTGTGGTTAAAATTAAAACATGGTACGCCGGCGCCACGGCTCACTAGGCTAATCCTCTGCCTGCAGTGCCAGCACCCCGGGTTCTAGTCCCGGTTGGGGTGCCAGATTCTGTCCCGGTTGCTCCTCTTCCAGTCCAGCTTTCTGCTGTGGCCTGGGAAGGCAGTGGAGGATGGCCCAGGTCCTTGGGCCCTGCACCCGCATGGAAGACCAGGAGGAAGCACCTGGCTCCTTGCTTCAGATCGGCTCAGAGTGCCAGCCGTAGTGGCCATTTGGGGAGTGAACCAGTGGAAGGAAGACCTTTCTCTTTGTCTCTCTCACTGTCTAACTCTGCCTGTAAAAAAAAAAATAAAATAAAATAAAACGTGGTAAAAGCTTTAATTTTATGTCTTTATCTGCCTCTAAAATATAGAGTAGCTGATCCACCTCACTGATATAACTGATAGAAGCTGATGTGAAATTAGAAGACAAATTGTATTTTAGCAGTAATTGTGAAAAGAATTGTTTTATTTGATTTTATTTGAAAGGCAGAGACACAAAGAGAGATCTACTATCTACTGGTTCACTCCCCAAATGACTACAACAGCTGTAGCTAAAGCCAGGGGCCAAGAGCTAAATCTGAATCTCCCATTTGGGTGGCAGGAATGCAAGTACTGACCTGGTGCTTCCCTGAGTGTGCATTAGCAGGAAGGTGGACTTGAGGTGGAGCCAAGATTCAAACTCAAGCACTCTGATATCAGATGTGGGCCTCCTAATCTTAATCACTGTACCAAATGCTTGCCCCCTCCAAAAAAATTATTTTAAACAGCAAGAAAAAAAAGTCATCTGCTTGGATTGTTGTGTAGACTGATACTGGTAAGAGAGTTGGCAGTACAGGGAAGATGCAGAGGAAGGGTGGAAAGGGCAAAGCACAGGTAACTCTTTCAAGAACCGCCTGTTCCAAAACATGATGACTCGGTTAAATTGGTCCTTGTGGCCAGAAGACAAATTGTATATTTTGTGTCTGGTAACCATAGTGGTTGAATAAACTTAAAAGAGACAAACTAAAAAGAGCATCTTTATGTTGTTAGTTCTATCTTGAAACCTCTTGCTAAACGAGCACTGAACCAATGTTGTGCTAGACAGTAGGTACTCAGTAAGTATGTAGTCTAGACACATTGATTTCCCTGTTCCCTTCTTCCTTAACAAAGATGATTAGTGCTGTAAAGTGTGTGGATTAGAGAATAAAAGGTCAAATCATATCAAGTGACTCTGTTGAAAACTGTGCATCTCTAAGGCCACATTCTGATGAACATCACTTTTTCTTCCCTTCTTTCCCATTTAGTTTTCCAGGTAACTGCCAAATATTAATGAACTTGCTTCCTGAGACCATTGCTCTCTGTAGCTGTACTCTTTTTATTTTTTTTATTTTTAAAGATTTATTTATTTATTTATTTGAACGTCAGAGTTACACAAATAGAGAAGGAGAGGAGAGAAGGAGAGGAATAGAGAGAGAAAGGTCCTCCATCTGTTGGGTCACTGCCCAACTGGCCACAACTAGGTCTGGGCCAGGTTAAAGCCAAGACCCAGGAACTTCTTCCTGGTCTCCCACATGAGTGGCGGGTCCCAGGCACTTGGCCATTATCCACTGCCTTCCCAGGCACATCAGCAAGGAGTTAGGTCAGAAGTGGAGCAGCTAGGACTCAAGACTGGCACTTTGATATGGGATGTTGGCACAAGCAATAGCTTATTAACTCATTATTCGAGGAGATGTTTGTCTACAGTTCTGTGACATTAAGTACATTAAATTTGTTGTGTAACCATCACCATCATCTATCTCCAAGGGATTAACATCTTCCCAAGTGGAAACTGTGTGTGTTAAGCAGTAACTGCATTCTTTTCTTTCCACAAATTCCTGCCAGCCACCATTGTACTTGGTACCTCAGTGAATTCGGCTATTTCAGATAGATGATCCTTATATCTTTTTCTGTCTGAACCTTTCTAGTGTCCTTCTTTTTTTATTTTAAAGATTTATGTATTTAATTGAAAAGCAGAGTTAACGGAGAGAGAGGGAAAGAGATCATCCATCTGCTGATTAACTCTCCAAATGGCCTCAACAGCCAGGGCTGGGCCAAGCTGAAGACATGAGCCAGAAGCATCATCCAGGTCTCACATGTAGGTGGAGGGTCCCAGGCACTTTGTCCATCTTTTGCTGCCTTCCCAGGTATGCCAGGTGTGTTAGCACGGAGCTGGATCAGAAGTGGAGCAGCCAAGACTCAATCATGCCCATATGGGATGCCTGTGCTGCTGGTGATATCTGAAACCTGCTGTGCCACAGCGGGGATCCCAATTGTGTATTTCTGGAAAAAAAAAAAAAAAGTACTAGAGATGATCAAGGCCCAGACTAACGTATTGGGATTTTACTATCCTTTATTCAATGTATTC